TCATCTAATCAGTATTATAATAAATATATTTTATATTATTAGACGTTGTAATGAATGATAAAAGAATTTAAAGCTTAAATAGTTAAAGCTTAAATTTAAGTTTAAATAGTCGTTTGGTTTTATAACGGGAACTTATTGAATTAATATAATAAATGAACGAGAATGAAAATGTGCTTCTTTTATATGAACTGGAAAATGCTTTTTGTGAAGTATTTTGGACTTATTAAATGGGCGTGATTTGTCTGTGTATTGTGAAATGACTTTTTGCTCAATTATCAACAAATTTTAATGGTTGTGGCGAAATATTTTTGTCCAATTAAAATGGGCACATTTGGATGATTATTGCGAAATATCTTTTTGAACTATTATCTTTGCACATCTTTTTTGTAAATATTTTTGCCCACTTGAATGGGCATATTTAGTTTTATTATTGCGAAATATTTTGATTGTGCGCAATATTTTGGCCCAATTAAATGTTTTTTTTGTTTATTTTGCAAAAACTATTGTGCGCAATATTTTGGCCCAATTAAATGTTTTTTTTTATTTTGCAAAAACTTTTTTGTTTATTTTGCAAAAACTAGTGCAATTAGGCGGGCATTTTGATATTATTGCGAAATAATTTTTAGTGCAATTAGGAACCAATTCTTTGGCTGATTTTTACGAAATATTTTGGTTCAATTGAGTGGGCATAGACAAATTTTTGTTCCTATTACCTTGACATTTTTTTATTGGTTGTTACGAAATAATTTGAATTGTGTAGTTTGTGCGATGTTGGGCAATTAAGCATTCATTATTTAGTTTCACTCGTGAGAAATATTTTGGGGCCTATTATACAATATGTACAATTTTTGTCCATCAATTATTTCGATGTTTTTTGGACTATTTTTTTGTAATATTACGACTAATATTTTAACATTTTAATTATTAAAAAACATTTTTAGGCTATCTTAGATATTGCTGTTAGGAATGCTTGCAATCGTGCACACATGTAGGAAAATTAATGTTGTAAGGTCAATCTTTTGCCCGACCCTCTTTCAACTTTTAATGGACTCAAATAACAACTGATACTGCTCTAATCTAAAATTTTTATACTCTTGTAAGTTATTTATTCTTATATCAGAGCACAGGAATTTTATTATTAACAGGCGTTTTATTTAAATATTCATTATAATATGTCTGAGAAAACAAAACAACTATGCGCGAACTATGCAAGAAAATATATAATTAATAACAATCAAATTTACTTTATTTTTACTAAAACATCAAACTCGTTTTTATAACAATTAACCCGATTTTAAATTTATAATTCGACAAATTGAGTATTTTACTCTGTTAACTTTTTGAGCAAGATATCTTGCGGTGCAACGTTTTATATATTTTCTTCGGTGTTGCATTTTGGATCCGTGCCATTTCTAGGGCAAGCTCATTAAATATTCGTGAGAAAATTTTTCTTAATTTTCCTTTTGTAATTTATTGCTATTTTTATAAGATAGCACAATTTTTGATTTTTCTTTTGATCGTCCCATCATAAACAGTTTTTAAACATTTTTTTAGATCATACTTCATGAAAGCTTGCACTTTTCTATACCTTATGAAAGTTTATAGTTTAGCTAACACCTTTTTTATTAGTGTTTTATTTTGGTGTAACTAATTCAAAGAGAGATGTCTTTCTATGAACTTTATCTCATTTGAGCACATTAGAATGTTTTTGCAAATATTCAAAATTTTTAAATACAAAAATTTGTTTGAGAATTTTTTAGTTAACGACTTAAGGTTTTTTTAAATCAGTGTTATTTTTTCTATTGATTTTTATTTGCGCAGTTTTTTAACCACTAAATTTGTTTTCCATTTTTTTGCAGTTAATGCTGCGTTCTGTTTGATATACTACATTCTTAATAAATAGAACATGACAAATTTTTTGAAGTCAATTACATAATGTTTTTTTTAAATTTGTTATTTGCTACTAAACTTGAAAAAAATTTTTAAAGTTAATTGTCGCGTTGAAATAAAATTTATTTTTATGTAAAAACTTGTGCGCGTATTTTTAAAACAATTTCTTTTATGAAAAATATGTGTATAGGCTATAAAAAAAGAAATATTGAAACAGCAAATTTGCCCATATTTAAAAAATAAATTTAAATTTTTGGATTTGTTGTATAGGCATAGGTTTATTATTACATCTGATTTTGCATTTTTCTGTTTTCGATTTAATTACTCTTTGAATTAATATAAAAAGTGTAATAAAACTCGGCTATATACTACTGGCGATCCTGAACCTTCTCCAGAATATGGTGAGGATCCTCCAGAATGCATGCCAAATAAAAAAGAAGAAAGTTGAAGAAAATAAATGTTTAAAAGGATTAAATTGTAAATTTTCATCCTTAAATTAAAATAAAAAATTTGATTAAATCTCCAAATCTACTTCACAATTCCCTACTTCTGTTTCTCTACGTCTTTTACAATTTATTAGATAATCTCGGTATTAAAGTGTATATCGATAAATCTTGACAAATATCTATAAATAATCATCGTAGAATGACAGAGATCTATATTCTAGTGATGTTCGGGTATCCCGACTACCGACACCCGAGATCATTTCCCGACCCGACTCCCGTTTCCCAAGTTTTTTCTTCTCCCGAACATCACTACTATATTAAAAAAATCCAAATTCAGGATTTTCAATCGTTATCACAATCAACTCCTGAAGACCTACACGCTGGGGGTTATCGATGGATTTTAAGGTATTAAATGGGATAAGATTTTTCTAAACAATTCTTTAAAAAAACGATGGCTAGTAACAAGAAACTTATTAAAAATGTAAGGAGAACAGTGTTAACAAATTATCGAGTTTATCAATTATTTATTGTATGTAGATTAATGAATCAAGTACCGTGTGTAATAAAAAACAGATCAACTGGCCGTAAATCCGGAACCCAGAAATACTTAATTCTTTCCGTGGTTAGAGATACGGAGGTAGTAAAATGTTAACCATGCGAAAGAACTAATTCTAGATATAAAATTTTCCAATAAAAATTTAAGGACAAATGAAACTATTTACAAATGAACTACAAATGAAATTATTTGTTGTATTTGTATTTTATTCTTTAATGTGTTTAAAATTAAACCCATTCTCAAACTTAGCTAAATAGTTAATTGAATAAAATAAAATGAATAGTAGAGCAAGTTGCTTCTATTTTTAAAGCCAATTAAATGTGGGCGTAACTTACATAAGTGCACCGAGAGTCTCGTCTTAAATGGCGATATTTTCATTTATATAAATTTGTTTTTACCCCTAGCAAAAATATTTTTTCAATTTCTCATTAAAGTTTAAGCTGACGAGCATTTAAATTTAAGAGGTCGCATTAGTTCGTGGGACTATTTCATAGGACAGTTCATAAGTTCATGGCTCGCATATAAGCTCATTGCCCTTTATTTTTTATCTTTTTCAATTCATCAACAAATATTGAGCTAAAATTGACAAGGCATGTCTTGACAGGTAAATCAAGTGACTTTAGCAAAGTAGCTGGGCTATAGCTATTCCTCTCCTTTAGCTAGTATTGTGTCTCGATTCTTCTATATTAAATAAATTAAAATATTCTTCTTATATTCAACAAATCCAACTCAAACAATAATTATACAAGTTTTATTTAAGGTTGGTTTAAGTTTGGGTAGCAAGTGTGATCTAGATGAGCTTGAAATTTAAAAACAAATAAGTATTTATATAATTAAGGAATGCTCGGAAGAAGGTTAAATGAGTGGGTTGTAAAAACTGATAAGAAAAGAATAAATTTAAAATAAATGAGAGGAAGTTGAAAATCAAAGTAAATGTTTGTTTTGAGGGAATGTTTTAAATAAAGTTAGATAATGTAAATGTTTTGGTGAAATGTTTTGATTATTTTAAAAGTGGTAAATTAAATAACAAACATTTACAGCATATTTTTGGGCAATAAACATCGAAAATAATATTTTAAAAGTAGATAATTATATGTCGAAATATGGATCCAACGGCATAAAGATCCAACTAGCATCCATATATGGATCCAACTAGCATTTTCAGTAGACCGGACTGATGTGTTGTCCTTTACACCACAGCCTTGGATTCGCCCGCCTGAACAAAAACCGCGGATTCGACCCACGCGGATTCGTCCCACTAAGTTTATAACTGGTAAAATGCTTTAATAAGCTCATGATATGACTAATGGATTTTCCTATCAGCTTTTCTTAACTACACTTTCTTTTCTTTCTATTTTTGTGATTAAATGATTTAAATTTAACTTGAATTTTATCAAGAGCTTAAATCGACTTAATATTTGTTTTGGCTAATTTCTTTAAGTTTTATTTACAACTTTAGGTTTTATACTACAAAAAACTAAACCCAAGCGGCCTCCCTTAGGGCGATAAATTTAATAAATGAAACAAGAAAACATTTTTTCAAGATGTAAGTGGACCCCCTTTCGTTGAATTCAACGAAAGGGGGTCCACTTATATCTATTTTTGACAAGAAGCCCATGATTTTTTATAAATAAATACCGAAATTATATAGTAATTAAAAAACTATTTTTATCTAAAACTAAGATTTATCACACGAGTAAAAATAAAATATTATATATACAAATCACCGAAAAGCCACGAAAAAAACTTTCTATCTCCATTCAAAATGGCCAAAGGCAAATAATGGAAAGGAAAGAGAAATATAAAATTTATCAACATAAAATTCATTTTGGAACCGTTTTGGAACCGAACTATAAACACGACTATACTTTTATCTTAACCCGACACACCCGACAGAATACGAACATCGAGTAGAAAATCGAGGAAAGCAGAAATCCGCGGATGTCCAGATATTATCTGTACCCTCGTTCAAGCCTGCTATTTGCTACCTCTTTAAATTAATTTAATAATTTTGCCTTTGACCATTTTGAAAGGAGAAAAATATGTACAATGGTGGAGGGTAGATAACCGAAAAATCGTTTTGTCATCATCTTTAATGGAAGTGAAATCTAATTTCTATTTCTACTTTTGTTCTTTTTTGATTTCGTTTTGATCTTTTTTTGACTTTCTCCAACTTGTCCATGCTGATCTTCTCTACATATTTTTGCAACTAAATTTGTCCATTTTATGAAAATACGCTTATATTTTATTATATCGTGAATCCGAAAACAGATACCGGTCTAACCAAGTTGAAATATCTATTTTAAGTGAAAAGCCACGGACGGTTATTTCAATTGGATTATTTAAATTCAATTAACTACCTTCTATTTGACGATGCTCCAGAATAGAAATGAGATGTTCTATACTGAAAAGAATTCAAATTTATTTATTTTCTCAAGCTAGTATGTATAATTTAATATAATCACAAGAATTCCTTTCCCCCTTCTATTGTAAACCCCATAGGTTTCAATCTGCGAAACTGTCTGTATTTTCCCGTTATTAAACCAAGTTATAATATAAATATTTTCAAAGGATGTAAAGAAGGATAAAATATCCTTTTTCATATTCATTCCTTTATCCTACATATCCTTTAAAAGGATAAAAGGCTATGTATCAGAGATGTCCGTCTGACGCTTCGTCTTAGCGAAATTCTGCTTTTTTAGCCCCTTCAAGTTACGAATTTAGCTTGCGCATTTTTCACATCTTCAGTAACACCTTTAATAGCCCCATTGTTGAAAAAATTATTTTGATAATGGCAGTGCATTTCAGAATATTTCAAACTTTCACTTGCGGGAATTTTGAGGATATCGTGGATATAAAGTTTATTTATCATCCTTAATCTTTGATATCATTATAATCGCTCCTCTTATTACTCATCAATGTTCCAAAACATAATCTCAATATTATAGGTTACGGCAAGGAGTATCCCTTATTTAATTTCATGATTTTGTCTTTATTAGATTGATGAAAAATTGAGTCTTATTAAAAATTACTATTTTTCATAAAGATAATCGTGAAGTTTTCGCATATCCTTTATAATTTTTATTTTCTTATCTTTTCTCTTTTGACGCGAGTCGTTCAGTTTATTTATTTGTTGATTAATTCCTTTGTCCTATCAAATTAGAAATTAAAATTATTCGGAATTTATGAAATCATTTCATCTCTTTTTACCTGGTTTTGGTTTCTTTCATTTAAACTTGATCTTAAACTTTCATCAAACTTATCAGCCTCACTTAATTCAGCATATGCATATAGCAAATTATCAATTTGTTCTAAAACATTAGTAATTTCATGCCCGAATCCACTGCTTTTTGGGTCTTTGAAAATAAATTGTATTTATAGTAAAAAAATAATATTTACTTAACTTCCGAACTTCTATGTCCGGAAGAGGTTCTAAGTATTCAAACTGATAAACCAACTTTTGAGTTTGTCTTCTTAATCGTGATAAAGCCTATTAAATTTTTTATATTTTCTATTTCTCTAAAATAATAAAAACATACTAAAAATAGTTCGATTGGTTGTTCCGATTTTGAAATTTGTTCTAAATTTAATGCAAAGATTAATAAAAAAGTTGAAAAAAAATTAAATAAATTAAATTGTAAATTTTCATCATTAAATTAATAATAAAATATCTGGGTCAATATCTAATCCTAATAGAAAGGTATCAAACTTTTTTTAAGTATCTGTCTAAAATTCCTCTCAGTTCAATGAATTTTTCTCGGTACATTTGGGTTTCTTATCAGGGGTCAGCACAAGAGAAAGTGGAAAAAAGCGGAATGGAATAAGCGCCCAAAAATTATGCAAAAAGCAAAAAATTGAAAAAAATTTCATCAATTATTGGCCATTTTTAATTAAAAATTGAACACTAAGTATCAGCAGGTGCCGATAGAGTTTGTGATACTGTGATATGGTTGGAAAGTGATTTGAGTGATATCGTGATATAGTGATTTGGATGGGTTAACTAGACTAAATTAAAAAATAAATGTGTTTATTTTAAGAAGAATCTTCCAAAATCAATTACCTTCAAATTGAATCGCCTGATTAAAATTGTGATGATTGACGAAATCGTAAAGTTTTTGCATATCATTTATAATTCCGATTTGCTCGTTTATATTATTTTGAATTGCGGAGATTAGGTTTTTTATGACTTGTTGTTCCATCTTATTATATCGCTGATAAATGAGAAATTAAAATTATTTACATATATTAACTAGAATCATTTAATCTCTAATTAGTTTCACTCTCGGTGTTTCCAAGTTTCGGTTTATATACACATTTTCATTGCCAGATATAAAGAAATTTAATATATTTGTTACCTGATATTGGATACACCCATCTACCATAAACGGACTTAAATTCCCATTAATTTCAATAGATTCATTTAATAAATCCTTATATGCCTTATCCAAATTTTCATATTGTTCTCCAACATTGGTAATATTTTGCGAATCTTTAGAATTTTCTTTATCTTTAAAATAATTAGTTTTTTAGTTAAACATTATTTATAAAATTAAATAGAAAAAACCTAAGTCGCTATATATTTGCAACAAATGACTAAATTGGTCATGATCAGCCACCTATTAAAAATGTTTATATTTTTTATTCTTATAAATTTTTATTACCGGTTAGGCCCCCGAAACGGCTCCCGGACATTTGGTGAGTGGACAATTGGATAGTGGACAATTGGGGAATAGATACTTGTAGAATAGGCAAACATAAGTTTATTCCCCAAATGTCCACTCACTTATTGTCCTCTATCCAATTGTCTACTTCCCAGATCTCCGGACACGCGCGCAGAAAGCCTAAACGTAATTAAATCTTTATGTGCAAAAACCGAATTATCAAATTGTTTTTTAACACTGGTAATTTCTTCCACATTGTCATAGTTGTCTGTATTTTTTTTAATAAATTGTTTTTATAGTTAAAATTATATTTATATAAATTTAAATTAAAATAAATTTTACCTAAATGCCGAGCTTCGATCCCATCACAAGTGTTTAAGTCCGCATAGTTTTGAACAAAAGTACCAATTTGTTCGGTCAATTGATTATAAACCTTTAAAAATTTCCGATTTTTTATTCGATACAATAATACAAACTTCCAGTTCTGCAGATTGTTGCGATCCAGAACCTTCTTCTTGATAAATCCATCCTGATTGTGTTCCTGACGGACCTTCTTCGGGATTCATTCCAAATAATAATAAAATTAATTGAAGAAGACAAAAATTTAAAAGAAGTAAATTGTAAATTTTCATCTTTAAATTGGTTAAATTCTATTCACTTACGTAGATAAAAATTGTATTTTTATTGTATTGTTATTTCACTACTTTAATTTACTTAGATTCAGAAAATAAATTATTGGTTGGAATTGGAAAATATTTGGAAATCTTATTGGATAACAAGGCGCCTGCGTGCCAATATAAATAGACTGCGGAAGCAGATAATACAGTCGATTTTCCTTTAATTTTAAAAATTCTCCGTTAAATGGGCTTTTCTTCGATCAAGTCGGATTATGTCGGGGTTAGCAGTAACTTTAATAAATATTTTGAGTTTAAATAAGCATTTAATGCATTAAAATAGAAATTAAAGTGTTGTTCGAATGTTTCTTGAGTAAATTAATAAATACAGCTAACTAGCAACAATGCTTCTTTTTTAAAGAAATACAGACGCGATCGTCATGCGTGCCGTGTTCTGTTGAATTGAATAGGCATTCAATTTACGAGAGAGGGATAGACGTTATATATTTTCTTTTTACCCCTAGACAAACTATTTTTTTAATTTATTGATAGCTAAAATTATTGACAACCTTTAAACATCCGCTTACTCTTGACATGTCAAGACACAATTATCGAATTAAAAATTTTATTTTATTTATATCGGACATATGTCCTATCGATTAACGGTTGTGTTTGGCAAACAGTATTTCCTATTAAAAATATTAAAAAAAATTTTAAAGAAATTCTAGAATATATTTTTAAATAAAAATTTTTTTATTATAATATTAATAAGCGCAACCTTTATATTCTAAAGTTTGTCAAGGAATTATGAGACCACCTAAAATTTTTACGATTTTTCATCTTTTACATAGGTCGCGTCAAAAAAATTTACACAGCTGCCTTTTTATATTGAACATGTTAACTTTTTTGTTATCTTTTAAGCAAATTTTTATATCCATTTTAATGTTTTTATGTAATTTTATTAATTTAAGATCCTTTTGATAAATTATTCCAATTTGGGTAAAATGCGCATCAATAAGCGCACACAGGCATCTGCCGATGTTTAACTAATCAATTCAAGATTGGTGAAAACAACAAAAAGAAATTTCGTATTTCAATTTAAAAATTTCTTATTCCTATTTCAATTTACCTCAATTCAGACTTTATGTTTTGACTTTATTTCTTTTTTTTCAAATATGTAAGTGGACCCCCTTTATTTTAATTTGTTTTTTTATAAATAAATTCCGATATTATATAGTTATTTGAAAAAAAATTAATTATATCCAATAACTACGATTTATCACAAGAGTAAAAAATATATACAAATCACCGAAAACCCACGAACAAAATTATAAATCAGCGAATAATGTTTAAATAAACAATAGAATAAAAATTCAAAAAAACTAAATAAACTAAATACAAATTGTGTTACATAGAAAAAAAATTAAAGGAAAGAAAAAACTTTTTAAGAAAATTTGCTTTTTATATGTTGCGCCGTGACTTTGTTTCCGAACAATTCTTTAATAAAATTCCTCTTAATACTATCCCCACCTAACACAAAAATTTTCCCTTTCCCGACCCGAAAATGTAACAGGAAAACTGACTTTTTGCCTTCCAAAATTTTCAGAATTTAGTGGAATTATAATATATTTAGGAATTGATCCTCAGTAATCCTCTGATTACGGCGGATTAGTCAATTTACGGAGGATTAATCAGAATAGAAAATTATACAATAGTGAAGACGTTTAAAATAAAAAAATTTGGCTTTTTACGTGAGTACGCGCCGTACCACCAAAAGCAACAAAACTAAAATATATACAAATCACCGAAAAAATCACCAAAAAACTACAAATCAGAGAAAAATGTTTAAATAAAAAATGGATTAATAATAACTAAATACAAATTGTGATAGAAAGAAAGAAAATTAAAGAAAAGAGAACTTTTAAAAAAATTTACTTTTTACTAGAGTTGCGCCTGTATTTTTTAATAAATATCCACCCTAATACGCTCCCTACCGGACAAAACTTAGAGCACCGTTCCTGGACCGAAAAAGTTTTGGAGTTTTGGTTCATTAAATAAAATGCAATTTTTGGGGGAATTTAAAAAGGAATAAATCTTATTAGTTGTCTTCAAAATTCTCAAGAGTTCAGGATTAAAGGTATATTTAAAGTTTATCCTCCATAATCCCCAGATCTTTGTATGTATATATACTAAATCCTCTTCAATCCGTTAAAACACTAATCTATCCGACACTACGCCCGCCCAGACCTGAACGCCGGCCAAAATAATTGAAATCCCATTGTCCGAGGTACCTACTTTTTACTAAAATTTTAAATAGGGCGCAACACTTACAGCAAAATATAATTTACTTCAGCAAAACTTCAATCCACAAAAAAGCCTCGAAGATGACTCTTACCTGGTTTGCCTTGTACAATTACAGAATGGTCTTTTTCATGTTAGCCTCATCAGATTGGCCTTGTTCATATTGGGCCTGACCACTTGTTTTCGCATCTTAATGTGTTAATTAATCCAAAATATAATTTTTTAAATTGATTTATCTATTTATACAAACAAATACAAGGTATTACTTATAAAATTTTTAATTTTATTTAAAAAATGTCAGTGAAAATTTAAAAATGTAATAGACCAAAAACCAGGGCACGTATCGGTAGGTAACCGTCGTAACGGCAGCACCAATGTGGCCCTACGCCGCAAGTTTGCGTCGCCATTTTTCTCATTTCTCCTTATTTATGAAAAAAATCATAACTTTAGATTGGTGATTATACATGAATTATATTAAAGTCAATTAATTACCATCGTTTCTAATCGTTTGTTTTTCATGGAAAGGATTTGTGACATAATCGCAAATTTTTTCCATATCAGCTATAATTGTATCTAGAAGTACAAGAAGTCTCTTCGTTGACACTCCGCTCTAGAAATGAGAAATTAAAATTATTTAGGTAGTTGAATAAAATCATTTCATCCCTAATTTATTCAATACTCGGGTTTTACAAATCTCGGTTTGAAAAAACTAAACCTTTTCCAAAAAAAATTTACCGAATGTTTCTTTCCGCCTTTTGTCATGTCTTTAATGTATTTATAACCCTCTACAGTTTCATTATATGCATTAACCAGATGCTCATATTGGCCTTCAACATTTTTAATTTCTTGCGCATTTTGTGGGTCTCCTTTATTTTTAAAAATTAAGTTTTTATAGTGAAAAATTATATTATAAATTTAGATAAAAACAAATATTACCTAACTCACGAGGTTCTATGCCAACACAGGGTTTTAATTTGCCAACAATTGCAAGGAAAGGTTGAATTTGTTCGGTTAATTGTTTAAAAACCTATTCAAAATTTAGTATATTATTTATTCCGTAACAATGATACTTTGTCTCTTCGTTGTGTTTCTTGGTCGCTAACATCTTGGTCCGTTGATTGTTTTGTTTCTGGATCCATTCCAACTAATAATGATAAAAGTTGAAGTAAACAAAATTTAAAAAATTAATTTTAAATCTTCATCTTTAAATTAAATAATTGAATTTAAATATTATCTAGGTCACAAATGTATCCAGCATTACCCTCCCTTCACTACTTCTCTGGCTTAATTTTTCTTTTTGAAGCGAAATTACCTATTGTTTACCTATTTTTTCCTTATCTGCACCAATTTTATTTTGTTTGTCTTTGTTAATCTGAAGATCAAAAGATAGAAGACTTTTTTTTATTTCGTTTTCAAGTTTAGCTTTGTTGTTGGTCTTGTTATATTGTTGGCCTTGTTCATGTTTGTCGTGTTCAGAATGGCCTTGTTCATGTTTTCCTAGTCCAGATTGGTTTTGTTTTTGTTTGCCATGTCCAGATTGGCGTTGCTCAATTTTGCCTTGTCCAGGGTGGATTCGTTCATGTTTGCCTTGTCCAGATTGGCCTTGTTTATGTTGGTCATGACCACTTTTTCCCGCATCTGAATGTGTTATTAATCCAAATATAATTTTTTAATTTTATTTATTTATTTGTATGAACAAACAAACACAAGGTATTACAAACAAAATTTTAATTTAATTTAAAAAATGTCAGTGAGAATTTAAAAATGTAATAGACCAAAAACCAGGGCCCGTATCATAAGAAGGTGGGTAGGTAATCAACGTAACGGCAGCGCCTATGTGGCCCTACGTCGCGGGTTTGCGTCGCCATTTTTTCTCATTTATCCTTATGAAAAAAATCATAACTTTTTTTTAAATTGAGGTTTAATTTATTTTTTGCCAGAATATAGATCGTATTGTTATTTATATTTAACAAAAAATCAAAAATTTTGACGGATTTATTTAAAAGTTATGAAATTTCTAGCAAGTTACTTTTTTTCTTAAAAAATCACTAAAAATAATGTACTTTTTGTTAAAAATTCGGATAAATTGATTTTTAAAGGTAAAATTCTAAAAATTATATCAAAAATAGACACTTTAAACTATCGGAAAATATTTGATTCATAATTTCTCCACAAAATTCGAATTTTAATGATTTAAAAAATATATTCTATCTATATATTTAAAAAATATATTATACTTTTTCTCTTTATTTTCTTCCTATTTTTTCGGCGCAGCCATTTCTCCCTTCTTTTTAAATCATGGGAGAAAAGTTGGATTGGTGTCACCTCAGATCAGAATCACCTCAGATTGGTGATTATACCAGCATTATATTAAAGTGTATTAATTACCTTCGTTTCTAATCGTTTGTTTTTCATTGTGAGGATTTTTGACATAATCGCGAATTTTTTCCATATCTGCTATAATTGTATCTTTCTCTTCTAAGTTAAGTTCAAGAAGTTTCTTCGTTGACATTCCGCTCTATTAAAATTATTTAGGAAGTTTAATAAAATAATTTTATCCCTAATTTATTTAATACTCGAGTTTTCCAAATTTCGTTTTTAAAAAACGATCCCTTTTCCAAAAAATTTACCGGATGTTTCTTTCCGCCTTTTGTCATGTCTTTAATGTATTTATAACCCTCTACAGTTTCATTATATGCATTAACCAGATGCTCATATTGTTCTTTAACATTGTTAATTTCATCCACACTTGTGTTTACTTTATTTTAAAAAATAAATAGTTTTTATAGTTAAAAATTATATTATAAATTTAGATAAAAACAAATATTACCTAGCTCTCGAGGTTCTATGCCATTACAGGGTTTTGAGTCGCGAACACTTGCGAGTAAAGGTCGAATTTCTTTGGTTAATCGATTAAAAGCCTATTAAAAATTTTAGTATATTATTTATTCCGTAATATAATATTTATTTTCCGTAATATATTATTTATTCCGTAAATCCGCATAGTTTTGAACAAAAGTACCAATTTGTTCGGTCAATTGATTATAAACCTTTAAAAATTTCCGATTTTTTATTCGATACAATAATACAAACTTCCAGCTCTGCAGATTGTTGCGATCCAGCACCTTCTTCTTGATAAATCCATCCTGATTGTGTTCCTGACGGACCTTCTTCGGGATTCATACCAAATAATAATAAAATTAATTGAAGAAGACAAAAATTTAAAAGAAGTAAATTGTAAATTTTCATCTTTAAATTGGTAAAATTCTATTTACTTTCGTAGATAAAAATTGTATTTTTATTGTATTGTTATTTCACCACTTTAATTTACTTAGATTCGGAGAATAAATTATTGGTTGGAATTGGAAAATTTTTGGAAATCTTAATGGATAATAAGGTTCCTGCGGGCCAACATAAATAGACTGCGGAAGCAGCTAATAAAGTCGATTTTCCTTTAATTTTAAAAATTCTCCGTTAAATGGGCTATTTTTCGGTCAAGTCGGATCATGTCGGGGTTAGCGGTAACTTTAATAAATATTTTGAGTTTAAATTAGCTTGTAAAGCATAAAATAGAAATTAAAAGATTGATAGAATGTTTATTGAGTAATTTAATAAATAAAGCAAAAACAATGCTTCTCTTTTAAAGACGCTTAGACGCGCACGTCATGCGTGCCGTGTTCTCGTGAATTCAATACCTATTCAATTCACGAGAGACGGGACATACAGACATACAGGCATGTCGTTAAATAGACATTTATATTTTTCCTTTTTACCCCTGAACAAACTATTTTTTAAAATTTATTGATAGCAAAATTATTGACAACACTTAAACTTCCGCTTTCTCTTAACTTTACTGTCAAGACACAATTATTGAATAAAAAATTTTATTTTATTTATGTCGAACATATGTCCTATCGATTAACAGGTTGCGTTTGGCAAACACGTCTTTTCATTTAAAAAATAATTAAAAATATATTTAAAGAAATTCTAGAATATATTTTTTAATAAAAATTTGTTATTTTAACATTAATAAGCGCCACTTCTATATTCCAATGTTTGTCAAGAAATTATGGACCACCTAAAGTTTTGACGATTTCTCATTCTTAACATAGGTTTCGTCAAAGAAAATTTACACAGCTGCTTTTTATAATGAACATTTTTACTTTTTGTTTGTTATTTTTTAAGCAAATTTTTAAATCCATTCGAATGTTTTATGTAATTTTATTAATTTAAGCGCTTTTTGACAAATTATTCCAATTTGCATAAAATGAACAACAATAAGCGCATACAGGCATCTGCCAATATTTCATCAATCAATTAAAAAATTGGTGAAAACAACAAAAAGAAATTTCTTATTATAAAAAACAATAGTGGCCTATTACAGCCATTTACCACAATTCTGACTTTATTTATTAACTTTATTTTTTTATTTTTTTTTCAAAGTATGTAAGTGGAGACCTCCTTTCGTTGAATTTGTTTTTTATAAATAAATTTCGAGATTATATAGTAATTTAAAAACTAATTACTTCTAATAACTGCGATTTATCACAGGAGTAAAAATAAAATATATACAAATCACCGAAAACGCACGAAAAAATTACAAATCTGCGAATAATGTTTAAATAAACAATGGAATAAAAATTCAAAAAAACTAAATACAAATTATGTTACATAGAAAGAAAAAAATTAAAGAAAAGAAAAAACTTCTTAAGAAAATTTGCTTTTTACTAGAGTTGCGCCGCGACTTCGTTTCCGAAAAATTTTTAATAAAACAAAAATTCCCTCTTTCCCTACCCGAAAATGTAACAAGAAAACTGACTTTTTGCCTTCCAAAATTTTCAGAATTTAGTGGAATTATAATATATTTAGGAATTGATCCTCAGTAATCCTCTGATTACGGCGGATTAGTCAATTTACGGAGGATTAATCAGAATAGAAAATTATACAATAGTGAAGACGTTTAAAATAAAAAATTTGGCTTTTTACGTGAGTTACGCGCCGTACCACCAAAAGCAACAAAACTAAAATATATACAAATCACCGAAAAAATCACCAAAAAACTACAAATCAGAGAAAAATGTTTGAATAAAAAATGGATTAATAATAACTAAATACAAATTGTGATAGAAAGAAAGAAAATTAAAGAAAAGAGAACTTTTAAAAAATTTACTTTTTACTTGAGTTGCGCCTGTATTTTTTAATAAATATCCACCCTAATACGCTCCCTACCGGACAAAACTTAGAGCACCGTTCCTGGACCGAAAAAGTTTCGGAGTTTTGGTTCATTAAATAAAATGCAATTTTTGGGGGAATTTAAAAAGGAATAAATCTTATTAGTTGTCTTCAAAATTCTCAAGAGTTCAGGATTAAAGGTATATTAAAGGTCCCCGTGCCCGAGGTACCTACTTTTTACTAAAATTTTAAATAGGGCGCAACACTTACAGCAAAATATAATTTACTTCAGCAAAACTTCAATCCACAAAAAAGCCTCGAAGATGACTCTTACCTGGTTTGCCTTGTACAATTACAGAATGGTCTTTTTCATGTTAGCCTCATCAGATTGGCCTTGTTCATATTGGGCCTGACCACTTGTTTTCGCATCTTAATGTGTTAATTAATCCAAAATATAATTTTTTAAATTGATTTATCTATTTATACAAACAAATACAAGGTATTACTTATAAAATTTTTAATTTTATTTAAAAAATGTCAGTGAAAATTTAAAAATGTAATAGACCAAAAACCAGGGCACGTATCGGTAGGTAACCGTCGTAACGGCAGCACCAATGTGGCCCTACGCCGCAAGTTTGCGTCGCCATTTTTCTCATTTCTCCTTATTTATGAAAAAAATCATAACTTTAGATTGGTGATTATACATGAATTATATTAAAGTCAATTAATTACCATCGTTTCTAATCGTTTGTTTTTCATGGAAAGGATTTGTGACATAATCGCAAATTTTTTCCATATCAGCTATAATTGTATCTAGAAGTTCAAGAAGTCTCTTCGTTGACACTCCGCTCTAGAAATGAGAAATTAAAATTATTTAGGTAGTTGAATAAAATCATTTCATCCCTAATTTATTCAATACTCGGGTTTTACAAATCTCGGTTTGAAAAAACTCAACCTTTTCCAAAAAAAATTTACCGAATGTTTCTTTCCGCCTTTTGTAATGTCTTTAATGTATTTATAACCCTCTACAGTTTCATTATATGCATTAACCAGATGCTCATATTGGCCTTCAACATTTTTAATTTCTTGCGCATTTTGTGGGTCTCCTTTATTTTTAAAAATTAAGTTTTTATAGTGAAAAATTATATTATAAATTTAGATAAAACAAATATTACCTAACTCACGAGGTTCTATGCCAATACAGGGTTTTAATTTGCCAACAATTGCAAGGAAAGGTTGAATTTGTTCGGTTAATCGTTTAAAAACCTATTCAAAATTTTTATATTGTTTATTTGTAACAATGATACTTGGTCTTTTTGTTTTGCTTCTTGGTCGCTAACATCTTGGTCCGTTGATAGTTTTGTTTCTGGATCCATTCCAACTAATAATGATAAAAGTTGAAGTAAACAAAATTTAAAAAAATTAATTTTAGATCTTCATCTTTAAATTAAATAATTGAATTTAAATATTATCTAGGTAACAAATGTATCCAGCATTACCCTCCCTTCACTACTTCTCTGGCTTAATTTTTCTCTTTGAAGCAAAATTACCTATTGTTTACCTATTTTTTCCTTATCTGCACCAATTTTATTTTGTTTGTCTTTGTTAATCTGAATATCAAAAGATAGAAGACTTTTTTTTATTTCGTTTTCAAGTTTAGCTTTGTTGTTGGTCTTGTTATATTGTTGGCCTTGTTCATGTTTGTCGTGTTCAGAATGGCCTTGTTCATGTTTTCCTAGTCCAGATTGGTTTTGTTTTTGTTTGCCATGTCCAGATTGGCCTTGTTCAATTTTGCCTTGTCCAGGGTGGATTCGTTCATGTTTGCCTTGTCCAGATTGGCCTTGTTTATGTTGGTCATGACCACTTTTTCCCGCATCTGAATGTGTTATTAATCCAAATATAATTTTTTAATTTGATTTATTTATTTGTATGAACAAACAAACACAAGGTATTACAAACAAAATTTTAATTTAATTTAAAAAATGTCAGTGAGAATTTAAAAATGTAATAGACCAAAAACCAGGGCCCGTATCATAAGAAGGTGGGTAGGTAATCAACGTAACGGCAGCGCCTATGTGGCCCTACGTCGCTTTTTTCTCATTTATCCTTATTTATGAAAAAAATCATAACTTTTTTTAAAATTAAGGTTTAATTTATTTTTTGCCAGAATATAGATCGTATTGTTATTTATATTTAACAAAAAATCAAAAATTTTGACGGATTTATTTAAAAGTTATGAAATTTCTAGCAAGTTACTTTTTTTCTTAAAAAATCACTAAAAATAATGTACTTTTTGTTAAAAATTCGGATAAATTGATTTTTAAAGGTAAAATTCTAAAAATTATATCAAAAATAGACACTTTAAACTATCGGAAAATATTTGATTCATAATTTCTCCACAAAATTCGAATTTTAATGATTTAAAAAATATATTCTATCTATATATTTAAAAAATATATTATACTTTTTCTCTTTATTTTCTTCCTATTTTTTCGGCGCAGCCATTTCTCCCTTCTTTTTAAATCATGGGAGAAAAGTTGGATTGGTGTCACCTCAGATCAGAATCACCTCAGATTGGTGATTATACCAGCATTATATTAAAGTGTATTAATTACCTTCGTTTCTAATCGTTTGTTTTTCATTGTGAGGATTTTTGACATAATCGCGAATTTTTTCCATATCTGCTATAATTGTATCTTTCTCTTCTAAGTTAAGTTCAAGAAGTTTCTTCGTTGACATTCCGCTCTATTAAAATTATTTAGGAAGTTTAATAAAATAATTTTATCCCTAATTTATTTAATACTCGAGTTTTCCAAATTTCGTTTTTAAAAAACGATCCCTTTTCCAAAAAATTTACCGGATGTTTCTTTCCGCCTTTTGTCATGTCTTTAATGTATTTATAACCCTCTACAGTTTCATTATATGCATTAACCAGATGCTCATATTGTTCTTTAACATTGTTAATTTCATCCACACTTGTGTTTACTTTATTTTAAAAAATAAATAGTTTTTATAGTTAAAAATTATATTATAAATTTAGATAAAAACAAATATTACCTAGCTCTCGAGGTTCTATGCCATTACAGGGTTTTGAGTCGCGAACACTTGCAAGTAAAGGTCGAATTTCTTTGGTTAATCGATTAAAAGCCTATTAAAAATTTTAGTATATTATTTATTCCGTAATAATGATACTTCGTCTTTTCGTTGTGCTTCTTGGTCGCTAACATCTTGGTCCGTTGATAGTTTTGTTTCTGGATCCATTCCAACTAATAATGATAAAAGTTGAAGTAAACAAAATTTAAAAAAATTAATTTTAGATCTTCATCTTTAAATTAAATAATTGAATTTAAATATTATCTAGGTAACAAATGTATCCAGCATTACCCTCCCTTCACTACTTCTCTGGCTTAATTTTTCTCTTTGAAGCAAAATTACCTATTGTTTACCTATTTTTTCCTTATCTGCACCAATTTTATTTTGTTTGTCTTTGTTAATCTGAATATCAAAAGATAGAAGACTTTTTTTTATTTCGTTTTCAAGTTTAGCTTTGTTGTTGGTCTTGTTATATTGTTGGCCTTGTTCATGTTTGTCGTGTTCAGAATGGCCTTGTTCATGTTTTCCTAGTCCAGATTGGTTTTGTTTTTGTTTGCCATGTCCAGATTGGCCTTGTTCAATTTTGCCTTGTCCAGGGTGGATTCGTTCATGTTTGCCTTGTCCAGATTGGCCTTGTTTATGTTGGTCATGACCACTTTTTCCCGCATCTGAATGTGTTATTAATCCAAATATAATTTTTTAATTTGATTTATTTATTTGTATGAACAAACAAACACAAGGTATTACAAACAAAATTTTAATTTAATTTAAAAAATGTCAGTGAGAATTTAAAAATGTAATAGACCAAAAACCAGGGCCCGTATCATAAGAAGGTGGGTAGGTAATCAACGTAACGGCAGCGCCTATGTGGCCCTACGTCGCTTTTTTCTCATTTATCCTTATTTATGAAAAAAATCATAACTTTTTTTAAAATTAAGGTTTAATTTATTTTTTGCCAGAATATAGATCGTATTGTTATTTATATTTAACAAAAAATCAAAAATTTTGACGGATTTATTTAAAAGTTATGAAATTTCTAGCAAGTTACTTTTTTTCTTAAAAAATCACTAAAAATAATGTACTTTTTGTTAAAAATTCGGATAAATTGATTTTTAAAGGTAAAATTCTAAAAATTATATCAAAAATAGACACTTTAAACTATCGGAAAATATTTGATTCATAATTTCTCCACAAAATTCGAATTTTAATGATTTAAAAAATATATTCTATCTATATATTTAAAAAATATATTATACTTTTTCTCTTTATTTTCTTCCTATTTTTTCGGCGCAGCCATTTCTCCCTTCTTTTTAAATCATGGGAGAAAAGTTGGATTGGTGTCACCTCAGATCAGAATCACCTCAGATTGGTGATTATACCAGCATTATATTAAAGTGTATTAATTACCTTCGTTTCTAATCGTTTGTTTTTCATTGTGAGGATTTTTGACATAATCGCGAATTTTTTCCATATCTGCTATAATTGTATCTTTCTCTTCTAAGTTAAGTTCAAGAAGTTTCTTCGTTGACATTCCGCTCTATTAAAATTATTTAGGAAGTTTAATAAAATAATTTTATCCCTAATTTATTTAATACTCGAGTTTTCCAAATTTCGTTTTTAAAAAACGATCCCTTTTCCAAAAAATTTACCGGATGTTTCTTTCCGCCTTTTGTCATGTCTTTAATGTATTTATAACCCTCTACAGTTTCATTATATGCATTAACCAGATGCTCATATTGTTCTTTAACATTGTTAATTTCATCCACACTTGTGTTTACTTTATTTTAAAAAATAAATAGTTTTTATAGTTAAAAATTATATTATAAATTTAGATAAAAACAAATATTACCTAGCTCTCGAGGTTCTATGCCATTACAGGGTTTTGAGTCGCGAACACTTGCAAGTAAAGGTCGAATTTCTTTGGTTAATCGATTAAAAGCCTATTAAAAATTTTAGTATATTATTTATTCCGTAATAATGATACTTCGTCTTTTCGTTGTGCTTCTTGGTCGCTAACATCTTGGTCCGTTGATTGTTTTGTTTCTGGATCCATTCCAACTAATAATGATAAAAGTTGAAGTAAACAAAATTTTAAAAGAAATACCGAAAAAAATTTTTTAATTTACTTTATCATTATTATTTTTGAAAGAAAAGTGTTTGGAATATCAAAATTCTCTTTGAGCCTCCATTAAGCTTGTGGTTGAGTAATTAATCTGTTTGTCATGGTCTATATTTCTAATATGTACTATGGGGCTGGGATTAGATACAAGTTAAAAAATCTGTGGGTGTTTTGTTTTTCCTTACAAAGATAGATAATTATTAGGGATGGGATTTATATGGACTATCAATCGAAAAATATGGACATATAATATGGACTAAAAATCTCAAAATATGGACTGAAATATGGACTAAAATCCAAAATATGGATCAAATATGGGCCAAAAACTGAAAATTTTTATCGTAAAATTTTCATTTTTAAGCAGCAAAATGTAAATTAAGTTAATTTTGAAGCAAATTAATACAAATAAACCAATTAATAGTGATTATTTTGTTTCTAAAAATATTTTGGATAATATTTGAGTCGAAAATTTTTTGTAAAATTTTTGTCAAAATTCTTATAATAAAATTTTTAAAAATTTTTTGAAAAAATTTTTTCAAAAAATTTTTTTGTAAAAATTTTTGACCAAAAATTTCATAAATTTGAAAATTTTGACCAATTTTTGGCAAAATTTTACAAAAAATGGCGAAATATGGATAAAATATGGAAAATATGGACGGAACGCCTAAATATGAAAAAATATGGAAAATATGGATTGATAACTCAAAAACGGCCTTATCACCATATGCTAAAAACATGTTTTTTGGACGTTTCAGAACCCAACGAGTTCAGGAAAAAAATATGGAAATCCATATAAATCCCATCCCTAATAATTATAAAGTCAAATCTATCTAATCACTCCATATCGTCCCTACTTTCCGAATAAATTAACGAAAAAAGAACTCAATTAATTACCTTCATTTTTAATCGCCTGAAGTTTTTTGAGATAATCGCACAATATTTGCATATCTGCTAAAATAGAGCCTTGCATTTTCTTTTTATTTTTAAGATTTTCGACCACTTTTTCTTTTAATTCATTGTACGTTTTATAACTTTCCTGATTATTAGGATCGTCCTAACAGATAAAAAATAAATTTATGTAATTGAAAAATATCTCTCATATATTTAGTTTCACTTTTTCAAAATCTCGGTTTAAAAAACAAAATCACTTTTCCAAAGAAATTTCATATACCAGTTTTTATTATCAAATAAAAATGAATTTCGGCAGTATTTTTTCCGGTTGCTGGTTCGAAAGCATTCGAAATTTATACTATTTAATTCGTCTCGGCGAGCTGGGTCGAATGACATCACTCCAGGAGCTCCCGAAAATCAAAAAAAACCATAGGAGTTAAAAATTCGAATATGTAAATAATAGCTCATTCGAGATCCCTCTATTGTTTTTGACCATTTCAATCCCCATATCTAGGCAAGAACATTTTCAACCATGTTGATTTATGTGTCATTTGATTCAGCTCGAGGAGCTATTTTGAATAAGCTATCATTCAAAAAATAAATTTTTCACCCCAGCTCTCTCCCCTCTAGGGTTTTTCGATTTTCGGTGACCTATATCTGGTACCACTCTGCGACGTGGGAATGGTACCATTCGACTCAGCTCGCCGAGAAGAATCGAATGGTTTAGAAATAGAATCGGTTTCGAACCGGCCACCGGCTAAAGTTATCCTAAATTTTAAATAAATTTAAATATTTTTTATCCTAAATTATTATCCTAAATTTAAATATCCTAAATTAAATGCTAATTTTACCCGAGATGGGTCTCCGAATATTGTAAAGAATTTTAAATTTTTTTTATTTGCATTTATAGCTTGTATTGTATCATTATATGCTTTGACCAAATTATCATATTGTTGTCTAACACTGTTACTTTCTTGCCCAAGTGAAGGGTTACCTTTATTTTTAAAAATAAATAGTTTTTAAATTTATTTTTAAAACTTTAAATAAAAGTAACTATTACTTACTTAACTCCGGAAATTTTAATTCCTCACACGGTGCCGCGTCTCCAAATATTTTAAGCAAAGAACTAATTCGATTACATAAGTGATCAAATTCCTATTAAAAATGTTTAATATAATTTTGCTTATATTTCGTTATAATAATACTAACTCCTTGCGACGATTTTTGTTGCGTTCCTGAGCCTTCTCCAGGATCCGTTGAGGATCCTCCCGGATCCATTGCAAATAATAAAGAAAAAAGTTGAAGAAAATAAAAGTTCAAAAGGATTAAATTGTAAATTTTCATCCTTAAGTTTAATTAAAGAATTTAAGTTAAACTTCGATTTAGAAAAGTTCAAGTTCGTTATATCGACTTAATTAACTGTAATTTTTGGCTTTGAATAAGAACATCTTTCAATTAAATAAAAACAATGAAACAGGGAGTTAGGCCATCAGGGAGGTAGGCCATCATGCTTTGGCTTGATTTTTGCCAGATTTGGCTTTCTGGCGTTTTTTCGTCTTTTGAACCTTAAAATTTTAACCCCTAACGATGGATGTGTGAAAACAAACGCCACTCGGAAATTCTGGTGTAAATTGCTGCAATTAAAAGTCTTTTTTAGGCAGTGGGGTTTGAAAAACATTTGATTCAAAAAATTTAAATATTTTAAATTAAAACAATTCCACTAGATCAGCCAAATAGTTTAAATGAACAAAATTATTTTCCGAAGCTTAAGGCAATGAAAGAAGCTCCATGTTAAGGAAAGAATGTAAGAGGGAATTTTTATTTTAATTAATGCTTAACCCTCAAAGTGCATCTCTTTTTAAAGACAATTAGATGCGCGAGACTTACTTTCAGTAAAACTCATGAATTAAAATTTTACACGCCCCGCCCCCTCAATTTTTCTTTTTAACCTTATGTCAAATTATTTTTTTATTTATTTTAAATGGATGTATCAGCCAATTTTGTACAATTTGTACAAATTTTGTATAAATTTATACTTTCTATCGATTTTAGCCTGTCATATAGGGCAAATCAAGGATCAACCCAGAATATCGACAACCGAATTATTGACATCCTAAGTATCGACCCTCAAAATGACAAATTACCCAAAATATAGAAAAATTTTTTAATTTCATAATTATGTATTCCAATGAACGGGGATGCTGTTCCAACATCTGGGAAGTGTTCCAACTACAGAGAGGCGATCGAACTGACCATAGCGACACTCAGGAATCTCCTAGGAGATCGATTCTCTCTTTGATTGAACATATTGATCAGATTGATGTTTGTTCCATAGTTGGATCAATTCCCCTATGTTAAAACAGACTTCCTCGTCCTTGGAATACATAATTATGAAATTAAAAAATTCGATACTTTGGGTAATTCGTCATTTTGCGTGACGATATTTAGGGTGTCGATATTCTGGGGTGGAGTCGGCAATTCAGACTGCTTTATGAAATAATTTTTTTATTTTTTCCCCTCATTTTTCTTTCTAGCCCTTTGTCAAATTATTTTTTTTATTAATTTTAAATGAATGTATCAGACAATTTTGTACACTTTGTACAAATTTATACAAGTCCTACTATTGATTTTAGCTTGTCATATAGGGCAAATTAAATTTATTTATGAAATAATTTTTTTTATTTTTTAATTTAAATTTTTTTGAAATCCGCAAAATCCGCGGATATTTAAGTATCCGTTATACGTTGTTTGATTCTGTTTATTTTTCTAATAGGTATATCAAAAAATTCACTCCGACGCCCTCAATCCCTTGCGCTTAAAATTCCAGCGACCACCAATATTCCGTTTTTTGTCTTGGTGACGAATATTCCACTGGAGCCGAAAATTTGGAGACGAAAGTTCCGAAGTTCGGAAACGTAAGTTCCGTAAACGAAAATTTCGTACACCCCCGCGCGGACCTCTATTTATTAAAATAGAGTAGCATTTTGATTTTTAAGGCAACTCAAGAAACTTTATTTTTCCCTATAGCTCCAAAAATGTTGATTTTCAGCGCCGCAGGCTAAAATTTTGAGATTTTTTGAAGACCCTTAAGTCAAGATTAACCAAAATCCTCTACCTTTTGTAGTGATTCATCTACCTTTTAATTCTTTCGCCATTGCCCAAATGTCCACTTCCCAATTGTCCGGACACTACATTTACTCTAGTGTCAACCTAATTTATTAATGCTTTTATTAATTCGTTTCCATTGATAAATATAATTTATTTTCATCGAATTTACAAGATCAGCAATAATAAAACTTTTAAATTTTCCAAAAAATTCAGATTAAACTAAATTATGGACTCCTATGCAAAATCCTTCAAAGTAGTGCTTCTAGGGGAGGGTGCTGTTGGTAAAACATCATTAATGCTTCGTTATACTGAAAATAAAGTTTTATTCTTAAATTTTGAAAAAAAAATTTTTTTCTTCCCCCAAGTTTATTAACGAGCATATTTCAACTATACAAGCAGCTTTTGCTAGCAAACACCTAATTGTGGATAATGAAAGGGTTGAATTGGCTATATGGGACACGGCTGGGCAGGAAAGGTTTCATGCTCTTGGGCCTATTTATTATAGAGATAGCCATGGTTTTTTGAAAATTTTTTGAAATTTAACCCTAAAAATTTGAAAAGGTGCCCTTCTAGTTTATGACATTACTGACAGACGCTCTTTTGAAAGAGTCAAAAAATGGGTAGAGGAATTGTTGCAAATGTTGGGGGATACAGTTGTGTTGTTTGTTGTTGGAAATAAAATTGATTTGGAATCGTCTAGAGTTGTTTCTGTTGAGGAGGCGACAAAGTAAATTTGTAAAAAATAAATTTTTTTGATTTTTATTTTTTTATTTGGGGGTGACAAAAATAATTTGAAAAAAATAATAAAAAATTAATTAACCGATATCCAAAGGGTTTCTACATCTTTGTTCTATTTTTCTGATTTTCGGTTTTAGTTAAATATCGATTTTTTAATTTTCTTGAAAAAATTACGGGTAATAGTTAAGTTTGTGTTTCCCCTTTTCTTTTTTCAGCTTTAGTTTAGTGTACCGGAGGTCGATTTGGGACTGGGCCAATAGGGCGCGAGCTTATAAAACAGTGAGTTGCTTATCAAAAAAGATAAAATTTTGCAATAGTAACTCTCATCCCTTTATCTACGTTCTCCAAAAATTTCAGAATTTTTTATCAAGAATTTCGGAAATTGTGGCCAAAAATGTTGTTTTTCCGAAAAAACCCTAATTTTTTGCGGTTTATCGACTATAACTTCAGAAATATTCGATGAAAAATTCTGAAATTTCTGGAGGAGGTAGTCAATGATGTTAAAGAAATTTGAGAAAATTTTTATAAATTTCGGTTTCGCCTAAGTGTCAGTTTCTAGTGCTGGCGCCCTAATGGCCCCGCGCCCTTATGACCCCAACCCGTCGATTTTGGTATAATATAAGCCCATATTTGAACATCTCCTATTTTTACATTAAAAATAAATTTATTTTAATTTGCTAGTTATGCTTCATCAATTAACACACAATTTCTTGAATGTTCAGCAAAAACTAATGAGGGGGTAGATGAAGTTTTTGATGCAATAGCGACAGGTTTTTAGGAATTTCCAAGAAAATTTCTCAAATAATTTTCTAGCCATCTTAAAAAAAGCACGGGAACAGTCTGTTATGTTTGATGAACAAGAAGGGACCGGGAACATTTTGAGGCGTCATAGTGGTTCTAGGCGAAGTATAAGAATAGTGGAAGAAACGGAAGAAGTAAGGGAAAGAAGGAGGAAGTGTTGCTAAGTAAATAAATTTGTAAATTAAAATTAGAAGATTCGATAGGTTTGGAATGATTGCTGGCTTACTAAGTGATTTATAGAACAAAAATTTGACTCTGGTCGATTAGGGTAATATTGAACCTGATAGACCCCATCTTGTCCTCCCCAAGTTTTCCCCTATATTTTTGCAAAATGGTCAAACTTCTATCCCAATTGCCCTTTTATATTTTGCCTAAAAAATCTAAAGTAATTAATTTTTATTCACTCTTGGATGGAAGTAAGGAAAATTAAAAGAAGTCTGACCATTCTGCAAATAAATATATATGAATAAACTTGGGAAGGAAGAAATGGGGTCTGTCAGGTTCGATATTACCATTATTTGGCCTTATCCGGTTTATGGGTCTCGTTAACTAGAAGAGAAAAACTCAAAATCCAATTCCCGATTGGACTCACAAAAGTTTGATTGACTCGTAAACTAGACATTATCTAAATTCTGGGTACCCAAGTAGGCGCGCGGCCATAACGGCGTAAAGCCATAACTTGCTTCAAAATTTCCTAATCTTAAAAATTTGGTATTAAACGTTTCCACTCATCGAGCTAAAGAGATTGGTACCAAAATTGTTAAGGGCCAGAAATTTTCCATCAAGTTATAGCTTTGCGCCTTTCGGTCGCACGCTGTTTTTGGCTGTTTTTTTGATTTCTGTCGGCACAGAAAATTCTCCTGAATTGCTGCAAAAAAAATTTTTTAAGAACCCTGAGCTTCTAACTTTTTAGCGAGTTCTAGTTAATATAGGTAGATTATTAATCATTTTAATGATAAGCAATCATTCTGAACTTGTATAATTATTATATTATTAGAGTAGACATATCCAGAGAATGTTTCTGGCAATTTTTTAAGAAAATTCCTTTTAAATGTGCCAAAGACCTTATAGAAAATTTTTCTTTCACTTTGTGACATACCGTATTTGCTCTATTAATCCCCAGTCTTTATTAATCCCCCAGGCTCTATTAATCCCCCACCCTGGAGATGGGTTGAAACAATAATCCCCCTCTTTCTACCCCACTCTAATAATCCCCCAGTCTCTATTAATCCCCCACCCTAGAGATGGGTTGAAACAATAATCCCCCTCTTTCTACCCCACTCTAATAATCCCCCAGTCTCTATTAATCCCCCACCCTAGAGATGGGTTGAAACAATAATCCCCCTCTTTCTACCCCACTCTAATAATCCCCCAGTCTCTATTAATCCCCCACCCTAGAGATGGGTTGAAACAATAATCCCCCTCTTTCTACCCCACTCTAATAATCCCCCAGTCTCTATTAATCCCCCACCCTAGAGATGGGTTGAAACAATAATCCCCCTGGGGGATTACTAGAGCAAATACGGTATTTTAAAATTTATATTTATTTGCATGTAATTTTCAATAATTAAAATTTTTTTCAAAATTATAACCCTTGTTTTATGCCTTATATACAGAGAAAAATCCACAAAAATTTTTCTGACCGTTATTGATGTGTTCATCGGTGGTGTAGTGGTAGCGTTCTGCGCTTTAACTTTTTCACCAAAGTTCGAGTCCTGCTAGGGAAAATTAATTTATTTTAACATAATTTTAGTCTTTTATTGATTCTGTAGATTTTTTATAGTTTCGTTCACTTTATTCCCAGCTTTTAACCACTAATAATTATGATAATTAACATAAAAACAACGAAAACTAAGGTATAAATCACAAGCAATGGTATAGTTAATTAACATAAGAACGGAATCACTACAACTTGAGCGCTAAGGCGAAGCAATACATATTTAACTAGATGGGGGAAAACAATCTCTACTTGTAGATCATCCAGAACTATTCTGTCTGAAATTTGCCTGACCATTTCTGTCCAAGTTCTATAATTATTTTATTAACTTAACAATAAACATCTACTTAAGCACCTATCAAATTTCGATAAGACACAGTTGTGTAAATTTTCTTGGATGCAACTTATGTGGAAGTTGAAAAATCGTGGAGGTTTCAGATGGTCTTATAATTTCTTAACACAATGTAGAAAAATAAACAAATTTTTATTTAAAAATATATTTCAAAATTAAAAATTAAAAATAATTTTTTAAGGAAAGGCTAAATATAAACAGTTAATCAATTTTGGATTCGATAATTATTTATTGACATGTCAATTTATTGCTATTAATCTTATTGCTATTAGTCTTTAAATAAATTTTAAAAAAATTTGTCTAGGGGTAAAAAGAAAAAAACGTAGAAATATTTAAAGAGTTTTTAGTGTTTTGGCTCCTATTTTTCACTTATAAATCAAACACCTATAAACCAGACCTGGTCACGGAGACGGATATAGATAATATCAAAATGCCTGCGGATATCCGCCGTATCCGCCGTAATTATGCGGATACGGATACCAAGACAGTATCCATGACCAGGTCTGCTATAAAATTTTCGACTGTGCTGCTGAAATTTTAATTTAAGAATTTTTAGTGAAACCCCGAACCTCGACATGTCCTCCCCGGCTAGCCCCGATCCCCGACATTCCCATCCCGAAGGTTTGGTGCGCTAACCTAAATATTAACCTATTAATCTTCCGCTCCGCCTTACGTCTTTGTCCTTTCTGAAAAAAATACACCGCTAATTGTGGCCATTGTTTTTGAAAAATTGGTTCTGGCCTTTCTAAAATTGGCCTCCCAGGATCGTTTCGAAATTTCGATCCGATTTTTTCGAAATTTCGATAAAAACAAAGATCAGTGCTAGGTTACACGCGTAGCTGATTACTTTAAAAGGTGAATTAAACAGGTAGTTTTGCTTCATTTGTCAATTCTCTTTTTATAAGTATTCGAACAGCCCTTTAATTTTCTTTTATTATGTTTGGAAATAATGTTTTTAACTAACAAAACTATCAGTATATTTAATAACAAGACTGGGCTTTAAAAAAATTTTATTTTGAAAGCAACATAGGTAAACAACAGAATTTTTCTCCCAAAATTAAAACTAAAACCGAGCTGGTTAAAGCAATAAATTGTTTATTTTATTAAAATGGAAGACCTTCTTACTTAATTTTTAATTTTTTAGGTCTATTGTAGGGTTTCAACGGAAACGAAATTTTGACCGGAACCGGATCCAATTTGAGTTCCGGAACCTTTTTTTGGTTCCGGCCGGAACCGAAACTTTTAAAAAAATTTTGCTAGCAAATTTAAAAAATTTTATATTTTAACTAGGCTTGTCGGTTTCAACAAATTCTTTGGTTAACCGAAGCCGAACCCAAAAACCGAACCAAACTCTCTCTCCTGATATTGAACTCCCCGAACTCTCTCTCCCCAATCTAATTTAAAGATGAAAATTTACAATTTAATTCTTTTAAATTTTTATTTTCTTCAACTCTTTTCGTTATTATTTGGAATGGATCTATTAAAGGATTCAGGAGCGCAACAAACAGAGGAACATGAAGTTTGTATTATTGTAACGAAATAAAAAATATTAAATATTTTTAATAGGCTTTTATGCAATTAAGCGGAAAAATTCTTACTTTACTTGACGAAGTTGGCGACTCAGATCCATGTCCGGGCATAGAAGTTCGGCCGTTATGTAATATCTTTTTATTTAAATTTTTAACTATAAAAACAATTTATTTTTGAAAATGAAGATAATCGGAGTGTCAAACCAATTACCAACGTTACAAGACAATGTCTTAATTTGTTTAGTGCATTCAATGATTTATTTAAACAAACCGACGTATTTAATAGACGTTTAAAATCCTATCTAGATGATAAGGAACACTATAAGGTAAAAAATATTACTTTATTTTGGTAATGAAAATTTGTATCAGGGCTGGGCTAATTTCGCATTTTATTTTTAGAATTTCGCCCAGCCCTGATATGTATGTAGTAAAATCGTTTGGGAAGGGGGGATTGTTTTTGACAAACTGAAACTTGGAAAACCCGAAAGCGAATAACTGCTCTCCTCTTCCTTGAGGAACGTAAAGAAAATTCCCTTTTCTTCCTTACCGCCCATACCTTAATCATTTCCGTCCCCAAAACAAAATTTACGCCCAGCCCTACTACCTGTATAATTTTAATTTCCTATTTGTTAGGACGATCAGAACTTACTAGTTACAATCAATAAAGAAATTAATTTGATAAACATCCCTCTTCAAACCCTCAAAGAACATAAACAAGGAATTATGGTAGATATGGAAAAAATTTACAATTACCTCAGTGAACTTAACAATCAAGCGATTATAAAAGAAGGTAATTAAATGCCAAAATATAATCCACATAAAAAACCAACCGGAGATTATTGTATCCGTGCTGTGGAAAAATTCATTGGATGGGAGATGGAATAGAACCATCATGGCTGAGCCCAAACCGAAGCACAACCGACTGTGCCACGATCCAAAACCGATAATGGGTTATTTATTTTCATTTATATTCTTTCTGAAAGTTTTAAAATGGTTATATCGGTATAGGTTGGCGGGTTTACGATATAATGGGATCGTATTTAAATAAAATAAAATTATAAGAAAAAATCATTTTATGTTTAATTTAGACCATTCAATTACGGTAACTAGTCGACAGAACCAGCATGGACCAAGTCGACCACGCCAACGTAAACGAAAACGTGGTAAGAAATATCCCAAATCTGATTAAGGCAATAGAGGTATTGAATATGATTATTGTTAAAATATGTAATTTATATTAATTTATAGTTTAATGAAAACCGTCATTGACAAGATGAAAAGATGCGTGAACATATGAATTAGATTACATTTGTTATTAAAAAGAAGAACAAAACAAAATACGTTATAGTATTGAAATTTTTATCTCGTTTTTAAGTAAAATTGGAGTTCGTCATTCACATGGATCTTTGAAATTTTTTAGTTGCTCCATTTTATAAAAATGTGATCCTTTTCTTCCACCTCTTATACTTTTATATGTCAAATTTAAAGCTGGTCTTTATTAGGGTGTCGATAAATTGAAAAACTTTGTTTAGCGATAGAAAGTAAAATTAGGACAAGCTTTTTCAAAGGACCTGTTTTGTCTCCCGCGAGATATACCTATATAGGGTTACTTTGACCATTTTGAGCTTGCGAACAAAAACCTCATAGAAAATTATTCTTTCACTTTGTCACATATTTTAAAAATTTATTTATTGTCCCAGCTTTTTTTCGTTTATTAAAATTTTTAAAAAATATTAACCTTGAAAAATTTAATTCTTTAGTCATCCTCATTTTTAATTTCTTCCAAAGAATTTTCTTCAATATTTTCTTCTGCTTTTCTTTTTCTATTTATTTTATCACGAATTTCTAAAAGGCCCATACAACGAGGTCTTGTTGCAATTTGTTCATATTTCTTTAAAAAATTTTTTTAGTGATTTTTAACATTTTTTAAAATTTGGAAATATTGAAAAACTCCCGAGATTTTTGTTTTGAAAATTTTGAATTTTTTTGTGTAAAAAATCGAAAAAATCCTTTGCCCTCCACTTGTAGCGGAAAAAAATCTCAAAAAATTGTTAAAAAAATTTTTAATTTTTCCAAAAAAAACCTTTGGAGTAGGCCCATTCCTAATAAATTCATCCAATCCTTTAACATCATTTTCCCTGCTAGTCTCTCCATTTTCCATTTTATTATTAATCATTCCTCCAAGTCCTTCAAGCATTTGTCTTATATTAGCCGCCCTATATTTTAAAAAAATTTTGGGAAATAAAAAAATTTTTTCTTACTTCACTTGATGTTCAGCCCATATTTTTTGTAAAATTCCTAAAAATAAATTCAAAAAATCCTTTCAAAAAATTACCAATAATACTGCAAATTGTTCCCCTATCAAACTGCCAATCCAATTGACCGTCCGAAAAAGTACAATCAAATAGGCAAAGTGGTAATTCGTTTGCTAGTTTGTATTGGGGTCTTTAAAAAGAAATTAAATTTATTTTAAAAAAATTGTGGAAGTATCCAAAGCATCATGGCGAATAGGGTTGTACCCCGTCCGCGAAAGTCAGGGAATTTGAGAGATTTGAAAGTTCCCCGTCACCGTTTTCCCCCGTAGCGCTGACTCCCAAAAATTTTCCCCGTGGCAACTCTACTGAACAACTCTAATGGAGAGTTCAGGGAACTGCTAAAACCCTTTATTTTCCCCTCTCATCCCTCTAAAATTGGAAAAACTAAAAAATATTTGAGAAAATAAATTATAAGTCGCCCTCCCATTCCTTTAAATTTTCCCCTGAAAACTTTGACCCCTATAACTTTTCGAAATGAGAGAAAGGGTCAAAAAAGAAAAAATAATTTCGGATTTTTTGGTCACAGTTCGATATGGTTCCTTGTAAAATATTATTTTAGAATAAAAAATAACGTGAAACTCGGAAATTTTTAAGAAAAAAATTCCCAAAATCCAGCCTTTATTTAGATACTTCCTTTAACTTAAAAACCTTGAAGGAAAAAGTTCAACATCCAAAAGTTGATCAATCAACTTTTAAAAAACAATTTCTATAAATTAAAAAATAAAAAACCTCCACTTTTTCATTTCCACAGCCAATCTCATAAAGTATCGTCACAATACAGCGAATTTGATGCCACAAAAACCCGCTCGCTTTTATTGTTAATTTTAAAAGATTAAATTCTTTGGAAGAAGAAAAATTGTTTTCTTCCAATTCTTCAATTTTAGCATCTTTAATTGTTCGAATATAGGACATATCAATCCTTCCAGTATTTTTGTCAATGTGGCAAAAATTACGGAAATCGTGTGATCCGATTAGACGTTGACAGGCATTTTTGATTTCATAAAAAAATTAATTTTTAAAGAATTTTTAAAAAAAATTTTTAAAAATACCATCAAATTTGTAGCCATTGCCATCGGAAAAATGTATGTATAGACACGTTCAATACAATCAAAACGAGCACTTGAAAAAATTTTTTTGAGAAAAATTGAAAAAATTAAATAAAATAACCTGAAATCCTTGTCAACTGGAGCAAAAGCGATCACACGCACAGATTTTGGAAGAACACCATTGAGCCTTTAAAATATTATTTTATACAAATTACACACCCAGGACTGTCCACAATTGAAAGAAGTTAATTCAATTTATAAGAGATTTAGTGAAAGAGGGGAATTCTTAAGAGAGAAGGGGGTTCTTAAAATCAGGCTTGGACACTGTTTCCCTTTATATCCGTGTTAAGTCTCTTGAGAGCTTCCATGATGACGGCTACTCTCTCACATGAAAAAGACGTAGAAAACCTGAAGAGCGGTCAGCTGGAGCCAAAGAAATTTCTCTTCTCTATACTCTCTGCGTCTTTTTCATGCGAGAGAGTAGCTGTCATCACAGAATCTCTGAAGAAAAAGTGTCCAAGCCAGCTTAAAAGTCAGCTTAAAAGTCTTAAATCCGCAGTCGCTTGCGAACATTCACCAACATTATCCCAATAAATAAAATATTTAAAAAGTTCCCCAACAAAATTAAAATACACTACATTTTAACATACGGCAATTCTTGTGTTGATTTTACACGTTGTTCTGGTTCGGAACTTTTTTCTGACCAAAAACAATATTCACTTGATACGTCTGTTGATCTAAAAATTTAATTTTAAAATAAAATTTAAAAATATTTTCCTTAACCTGACAGTCAACGCCGCTACTTGTCGAAATGCCAAAATAAAAAAAATATTTTAATTTTAGAAAAATTAAAGAAATACCGATACGCCTTTGTCTGTTCTACCACAGCGCGTCCATTCACAATTTTCTTCTGATTCTATCAATTTTGTGCGAACTAGAGCATTGAAAAGCGTCTGGAAATTTTTTCAGAAAAAATTTAAAATAAAAAATTTTCAAAAGAAAACCTGTTCTACAGTGTTTAAGGTATTTTCTTGTTTAACTAACCCATCATAATCCCAACCAAGATAAAGAAACATTATTGCAATCCTTCGTTTAGGGTACCTTGAAAAATCAAAGGGACGCTGTTTTTCTGAATTTGTTGAAGCCATTTTGAGAATCAAAAAAAATTAGTAGAGATAAAAAGCTTAAATTTGAAGAAAAAACAAAAATTAGCTCGGTCAAAAAAATTATTAAGCGAAGCAAAACGCAAAATAATCAAATTAAAAAAAAATTTTTTTTTGACAAAATAATTTATTCCTGAATTTCAAATTTTAAAGTAAACCAAAGCACAAACACAACTTTTTTGATTTAAAATTGAGAATATTTTGAAGAGATCGAAAAGGCGACAAAAATATTCCTTTTTTCCCCTTCTACTTTTAGATGAGCATTCGAAAAACCTCCGCTTCTGTTGGGTGAAGATTCAAATCACTTTAAAAAAGAGAAAAATTTTATTGGAATCGAGCACCAGAGGTGTGTAAAAAATATTAAAAAAAAGTGAAAGGCGAAACACCCTAAAAAAGAGGCGAAATTCAGCGAGAGGTGAGACGACATATGTACCTCGGACCAGGCCCGTAGCCAGGATTTTTTCCCTACCCCCTGTCTACAAGCCTGCCTCAGACAGACACTTATGCGAAACTTTGAAGCTCTATAACTTTTCGATTTAGGGGTCGGACCAAAATGCTAGAAATAGGCAAGAGGTTATTGAGCACACGGTGGTAAAATTTTTTAAATTTTTACATAAAGTTAGGTTCCCTTGTTAGCTCACCCTTGTTGAAAGGTTACCTTGTCCCCTTGTTAGCAAGGAGAAAGGGGGGGAGGAATTTAGTCAAAATTTACTGAAAAATTAAAAAAATTTACTCAATATATGGCGCAAAAACTGTTCTAATGTCCTTAAGTGCTATAGCCAATTCCACATCCAAAAGATGCACATTAAATTGATTTATATTGGAAGGTGTAGCACTTCTCTAAAATTAAAAATTTTCATAAAATATTTTTGAGCAAAAAATTTTAAAAATAAAATACCAACTCCTCTAGCTCTAACATAAGCATCAATAGCAATGGATAAACGTGTCAATTTTGATATACACAATTTTAAATCTTTTTGAACAACACCAAAACGGTCCTCTTCTATCGAATGAATTATTGTACGTGACAAAACTGTTTTAAAATTTAAATTCGGAAAAATATTTTTTAAAAAAACCTTTAATAGCCAAAAGTGCACAAAGCGTCTCATAAGCTCCCAAAATTGGTGAGTGAAAAAGAAAAAAGAAAAGTCGACTTGCTTTTAACAACAAAGCTTCAACAAAAACTGGCAAGCGAATGACTTTGCGTGGTTGAAGTTCTGCTTGAAATTGTTCTAAAAATTGAGAAAAAATTAATGGAAGAAAGCAATAAAATTTTTCTTTGAAATTCCAATTTCCCAAAGAAAAATAACCTTAAAAATTTGGTTCAAAAATAATTCTCGATAATTTAGAGTGTTGATATTTAATCGAAAAATACCAAGCGACAAACCCCGAATTTCACAAAATCAATTTTTTGGCACTTAATCCAATAGAGATCAAGCTGGGCCTGGAAAAAGGCTAGGGGTTTTCCTGTACTCTAGTCAAGGCCCAGGTATTTTTTGACCTTCCTGGGTTCTTTCTGGACCCAGGATCCGGGTCATATCAAAAATCAAACCCAGAGACCAGGAACAAGCCCAGGGTTTTCAAAAAGCTCGATCTCTATAATCCAATAGACACTCCAGACCAGACTAAGGTAAAAGAATGTTATTCCAATATTCAATGGCACCCAGTTAATTTTAAAACTAGAGCAATTAACAAATAAATAAAAACCTGCTGATCTAGGTTTCAATGCTGGTGGCATAAATAAAGACCTCCTTCCTTCATAAAGCTCATTCAAAACAATTATTGGCGAAACATTCTCTGTTGGAGTAGCCGAAAAAGATCCATCCTTTTCAATAAATTCAGCAATTGCTGCTTTTCTTCCTCCAACACCAACACAATGAAATTTAGTTTGTTGTTGTAAATGGTAAATAACATCTTGAATAAGTTGAACTGAAACTTCACGAAGTGCAAGCCAATTACGTGGATGTTCACCTAAATATTTTAATAAATAAAAAATTGGCAAATATCGAGAAAAAAATTTGTAAATTTTCTCGAGTTATTTTAATTTTAATCAGAAAACAGGGTAAGTGAAAAGGAGAACGATTTTTTTGAAAAATGACAAATGTATTCTTATTGGTCACAAGTCTTGATTAAAACCGGACTGGGAAAAAATTACTGATCGTCAAAAAGGTCGTATGAGACTAGATTCTCGTACAACCGGACTGGAAGGGTCTTACACGAATAAAGATCGATATCTCGAAAAATAACAATCACGATGATCAAGATTTTTGTTCAAGATCTCGTCTCGGTCTCGAATTTTAATTGAAACTAAGGTAGCAAGCCGGCCTTAAGGGTGGAAATGTCAGAGTTCGGAATTCAAGAGTGACGGCGTGTCGGGTGAGAGGATTAAAAAACCGTCAAGATTGCTGCCTTAAATAGAATCTAGAGAGGGAAGACAAGTCAAAAAAATCAATGAAAAAAATTAAAATAACCTGGCTGGCTTAAAGAATAAAGCGGTATCCTTTGCATTGGAGTTCCACAACAAGTTCTCTGAAGTTGTTTCAGACCATAAAGCTAAAAAAATATTTTTAAACTGAAAATTAATTAAAAAACATACTTTAACCATTGGATCTTTAGACTTCAAGGCATAAACAACAACCAAAGGAGAAGCAAAATCCAAAGATTTGTTTGTTGCTATAGCTGAATAGTTCTCAGGAAAGGTAAAATTAATCATCTTAAAGGGGTAAAAATTATAGAAAATTTAAGAAAATTTATTCCAAAAAATACCCGAATAAAGAAAAAGTGCCTGAGAGACTCAGAAAATTGAAGATAAACTACAAATAAAATAATAAGTAGAACGAATGGAGTGCACAATGAACACTAAAGAAGAAAAAATGTTAAAATATATTAGAGAAAATTTTTTAGCTTAAAAGCTTTGGTAATGAAATTTTTAAATAATGAAAATTTTTAATTTTAGGGGCCCAATTTTCATTTCCTCCCGTATTTTAAATAAGCACAAAAAATAAAATGGGATATTACTTCAAAACAGAGGTGGATCGGAATTCCGATTTCCGAAAAACATTTGGTTTCCGAGTTCCGACTTTTGAGCCAGTCCCGATTTCCGGCTCTTCCGATTTCCGACACCTCTGACTGTTTCGTCCCACCTCTGCTTCAAAATAATGTCGTGGGTTCTCTACCGGATGGCACAAAAAAACAAAGTCATACTCACAGTAAACAACGTTCACTTGTCAGTATATGGCAACCTTTTACAAACTAATTTTATCAAAAGGGATTGATTTTCGAGTATATATTCAGCAAGGACGGTTATTGCCGATAAATTTGTGATAGATTCATTCCCCGTAAAAGAGGTCCCAGTAACTTATACCCAACGTAAAACAAGCAAAAATAAGGAGGTAATTACAAATGGTTCCCCTAAAGTTCAAAAATCCCCAAATTTTTAGATAAAAAAAAATCAAAAAAACCTACAACAATAGTATCACGAAATCCAAGCCCAATAACATTAAAAAATAGATGGAAAATAATAGCAGAGGGGCTGAACAAAAATAAAAGTAAAATTGACCCCAAAAATGTTGGTTGTTGAGTAAATTGTTTAAAATTTTCAAATGCTCTTTTGAATGAAATAAATAGAAGCCAACGCTAAAAAATTTTAAAAAAATTCCAAAAATATTTAAATAAACCATTAATGCTCGTTGAAGTGTTTGTTCATCTATTTGTGTTAAGGGATCAACTACAATTGGTTGATTGTCCATTTATAGGCAAAATAAATACTAAATAAGGCAGATATAATAAAAAAATAATTTAAAATCTGAAAGTTAAAATTATAAAAAATTTAAAGCAAAACCGGCTAAAAATAAAACAAAAGACAAAGAAAATAAGGGACACGCCCAAGTAGGCGCGCGGACATAACGGCGCAAAGCCATAACTTGCTGGAAAATTTTTGGCCCGTAACAATTTTGGTACCAATCTCTTTAGCTCGATGAGAAAAATCGTTTAATACTAAATTTGGTAAGATTCGGAAATCTTGAACCAAGTTATGGCTTTGCGCCGTTATGGCCGCGCGCCTACTTGGGCTGTACCCGAAAATATTGCGACACAAATTTAGACAAAATGCCATTTTTGGCAAGACGACAAAATGCCAAAATATACTGTCACGGAAAAAAGATAGGAGCAAAGGCTTTTAAATTTATTTTAGCCTTATGCATAGCCATTATTTGAGATCAATAATAACACACCTCTACCTATCTATGTAATGTTTGCAGAATTATTTACTAGCACATTTAATTATTTTTACCAAAGATATTACTAAAATTAGTCTGTTGAATTTACAGATCAGAATTTAAAATAAATTTGAATTTACAGATATCAGAATGAAACAAAAGTCAAATAAAGCAAAACTACCAAATGAATTATTTTTTGATATTTTTATGTCAATAAATACAAATAATTATGTAACTATACAAAATTCTAAAATTGAGACATCATATAAATATTGGTGGAATAATTGTATTAAAAATATTTTAAAATCTTCATCAATAATTTATAAATATATTGGTTTGACTTTTCTTAAAAGAAAAGCTGGTTTTAAAATTAAATTTCAAATTTTTTAAAATTTTTTAAAAATTATTTTTATAATTTTTTTATAAATTTATTTTTATTTCTATTAAATTAAGATTATTTTCGAAATAAAATAAATTTAAATAAAATAAATTAGAAATAAAATAAATTACGGCTAATTATTTTTTAACTTACTTTTATATTTTTTATATTAAAAATTTATTAAATATTTATTTTCCATTTAATTTCCTCAAAACATTATTTGTTAGATTATAAAAAATTAAATGGAAAAATTTTTTTTATTTTCAAAAATTAATAAATTCAATTATAATAAAATTTTAGCTATTTAAAATGAATATTCCTAAAACTTTTCATTTGGATGGAATTTTTTGCTCACCTGAACCTGAATTTTATAATCTACCAAATAATTT